AGAAGCATCTTTGCGTTCAGCTCGAGAGAGTTAATCTTATTTTCGTAAGATTCTCGTTCAGCTCCAAACTTGAATGAATCTTTTCTTCTCCTTCTCAAACTCTGTTCTTTCCACATTTAAATTCTTTTCAGCTGTCAGATATTTCTCCTTCTCTAAGTCCAGTAATATCTTTAATTCATTTAGATCATTCTCAGACTTATGGAACTTCTCAGTTAAATCCTTTATATCTGAATTGTTCCTTGGAGAGTTCCTTTCAGCAGTTAGTTCAATTTGAACTTTTTGGAGTTTGCTGAACAAATCATTATTAGTCTTAATCCTTTTATTTATCTCTTTTTGACATTCCATTCTGACATCATTCAAAGAGTTTTTAAGTTTATCAATATGAGTTTTATGTTCATTTATCTGAGACTTGGAATCATTCTTAACTCTTTCTAACTTTTCTTTATTCTCCCGATTCAAAGTTTTAATACATTGCTCATTAGTATAATTCTGAATTTTATACTCCATAACACTCTTTTCCAACTCGGCAATTTTCTCTCTCAACTGCTTTATAATATCTGCCATTAAAAAATATTGATCAGTTAAGGATCTATGCAGTGAAATCAGATAAAAGAACAGTTAAGCTAAAGAAAATAGAAAAACACTAAAACTGATGAGAATTTTGAAAAACAACGAAGAACTGTCAAAAATCAGTAAAAACAGTCAAAACCGTTGAAAAGAGTTCAAAACTGTTAAAAACAGTCAAAGACAGTTAAAACTGATAAGAAACAGTTTACGCGATCCAAAACAGTTCAGATATTCTCAAACAGTTAAAACACAAAAAGATTACAAATACACGAAATGATCCAAAAAAATCTACACAAAATTTTAAAATCACAAACAATTATAAACCTAAAAATTAAAACTGTCCAAGTCCAAAACAAACTGATTCAAGCCCAATTCAATCGTCCAAAAAATATTGTGCCAGGTGTGCTTCGAATTATGAGTAAAGATTCTTGTCCAAACCCAAACCCAGTTATCTTCAATAGGCTTCCGGTCGTTGAAATGCTGCTACTAAACCTGCTGTAGTGCTTGCTATTACAACTCGATTCACACCCAATAATAAGTATCTGTGCAGCTTCCTCTAGCAGTTTATGATTGTGCTTCGTCTTGAATGACAGCAAACGTCTGCTCCAGTGCTCAAACTCAACCAAAAGACAATAAATCAAAACTAAAAAACCAAATCAAATCTGCTCCAAATCTGTTTAAAACAGTTTACTCAAGCCTCAAATTCTTGAAGAAATAGTAAGAGCAAACAACTGCAGATGGGTCTGGTAATGCAGCTGCAGAAATCCACAGAGTCTATGATTCCAACAGCAATCAACATGTACATTTGTTAGAAACCTGTCCAGATAGCTTCTGTTCCAGTCCTCAAACTTGCTAATCGACAGAAAAAAAATCACTTGCTGCTGCTGCTTGTGACAAACTGTGACAGGCTGTGATTCACTTTGTCCCACCTGGGCTGCTGTTCCAGTCCTCAAGGAAACAGCAGGAACAAAACAACAATTAGGATACACAATAAACCTAAACCTGTTGCTGCTGCTAGAGTCTCGATCAGCAAGAAACAGCAAGACAGAAAATTGACAAGAAAAGTTTACTTGCTGCTGCTCATAATCCCGAAGGCAAAATAGTTTCCTGTTCAAATCAAATTGATCCTTCTTTCCAAGATTGTGTGATAAACAGTCTTATGAACTCTGCTTACAATACAGCCCGCTAAACTGCTTAAACCTGCTTAAAACAGTTCATGCATAAAACATAATCCAATCACTGTTTGAACTTAAACCAATTAAAATTGCATCGATTCCCTGTGTGTTTTAACTTGGTCAGAACTGTGTGTGATCACTGTTTTAAATCACAGTTTCAAATCGTTGTCTACACAGTCACCTGCACACTGGGTACTGTTTCAAATCGGCCAAGATAAAAACACAAACTGTTGATGTGCGATTTAACAAGCGATTTAGAAATCGGTGGAAAGCGATAAACACTAAACCAACTAGTTAGGTTTACACAACAGACATTAAGCCAAGCTCCAATCGATTTATGTAAATCCGATGATAAAGCAATCGAACAATCTAAGCAATTTACACCAACAGATATCGAGCCACACGAGTGATATATGAACTTGAAATCCGACTAACTTGAACATGTGCTAAATCGCCTAACCATAAATCTAATTCACTCAAACCAGTCTTAATCCGCTCAATAGTCCGCTCAAGACTAATACTTAAATCGATCAATTATACGGTCAAGGGGTGTAAGTATCCGGACAAGTCCGCTCAAAGGTTAAAACTGAATCGGTCAGTGGTGAATTTCTTACCCTTGTGTCCGAATTCGGTCAACACTAACCCTAAATCGGTCACTAGTCCGGTCACCACTGTTGTAAATCGACGTGAAACTTACCTTCTGATTTGAGAGATTTAGAATGCGGTTGATCGATTTGTGCGAGTGAACAATCTGTTCTATTTAAACTCCGATCAAACATTCAGCGATTTACAATCCGGTCAAGCTTGATTTAGGTTGAGTGACCTTGAGCGATTTAGAGTCCGATCAAGATGATTGTGCGATTAAGAAAAGCAAACCTGTCAGCTTAAACCGATCACAACTCAAGCGATTTGTCAAGCGATGACCTTGCGATTCCTTATCCGATCAAGAAGTAGCAAACATTGTGGCCGGACTCTTATCCGGTCAAAATATGACGGGCCTGATTTTAAGCCCAAAGACTTTAAACCGGTTGGACTTTAGACGGTTTAACACAAACTAATTCAAAACTAAAAATTAAAATCAGATCAAAACTATCAAAAACATAAAAACTGAAAAACTTTTAAAAAAAATGGATCAAAAACACTGGTTTAAAGAAAAAAAATTCAAGAACACAAAAAAATCTAAAAACACAAAATCCACCAAAAATTAAAAAACGAATGATCAAATCACAAATCTTTGTGAATAACAAAGATTCACAATGCAATTTTGAGCATTTTGATCATGATTTAAACACAAAAACACAAGAATTAAAAAAAAATCGGATCAAAATCTAAGAAAAAAATGAAGAACACGAAGAACATAAAAAATTCAGAAAAAAAATTCAACAAATCTGATTTCTTCTCTTCTGATTTCTTGCAAACTCTGCTTTGATACCAATTGATGAGTCCAGATTTCATACAAACATGATATGATCTTCATAGATTGTGATGAACATCAAAGTAGAAAGAAGATATTCAAGAAGATGATTAGAATGAGAGGAGAGAGAATATTACATCAGCAAATCAGCAAATGTGTCCCTATTTTAGTGATCAATCTTCATGTTAGCTTCACAACAATGGCAGAATCTCATATATCTTCAAGAACACCAAGAATATTCATATGAACATTGAGAGAAAAAGTCAAACTTTACAAATCAGTCAAACCTCTCATTTACGTAATATGATTTACAATAAGCTCTCTTCATCTAATTGCAAAGACTAACCATATTTATATGGTCAAACCTACTAAACATAGTCAAAGTCAAACTCCTATAAGAAAAGTCAAACACGCTGACTTTTACAATTATAGACTATATTTAACTTGAAGACGAATACAATTAATACAGATTTTTCAGTCCTAACAAAATCATACGGTCAAAGTTGTAAATCGCTCATCACTTAAACCGGATAACACATTTTGATCGATTTAACTTTAAACCGGTTAAAACATATTCGGTTTAAACCTAATCCGCTCAACCCTTGACCGATATATATTAATCTGGACAACTTTCAAATAAACTCTTCAAAACTCAAATAAACATATAATTTAAAGCATTTTGAAAGCATTTAACCACTCACCTTTTTGAAACCAATTTCTTGCAAATAAGCAATCCGATCAAGACTCTCTCTCTCCCACTCTAAATTGCTCAATGTTTACTTCCAAAGATGGCAAGAAGAGATATGGAGGTTTTTAACTCATATTTATACCTTTTTCCAAAAGAGGTATGGCGGCTAAGCCTCCCCCCTTTCATGTATGCATACATACACACACACACACACACACACACTGTCACACCCCGCTAAAGCAGAAACACGAGGCGTTACAGGTAAGCATTTCATAGCTCCATTCAATAGATATCACCGTTAATTACATAATCCATGAAAATTTACAATTTCATCACTTTACTGTTCACAAAGAAAACATTATTTACAAAAAGAAATTTCTAAAACTTGTGAACAGATGTTATCGCATAAGAGCTTTCAAAACTTCCCTTCTTACTTAAATTTCTAAAAAGCATGAAACATAAAACGACGTCAACTACAAAGAGTTGGTGAGTTCACGGGTTTTCATATGCACAAAATATTTACAATGCATAAATCATAACTTGCAAGCTTATACATAACATGCACATTATAAATGTAAATTTTTCCATCGATGCTTAAAAACTTGAGACGCTACAGAGCCTTACCTGACCAATGTTCCCCATTAGTTTACGAACTACCATAAGTGGCCCGTTCACTCACTTAGGTACCACGGTTCGTATCAGTACTATTTCAGCGGTGGCTCTTTCGCACACATGAGTAGACTTATGAAAAACTTAGGTAATGTACACCCTTTTCTGGGTGGGACTGTCAACACAATAGCGGCTATCCACAATTATCACGGCTCGGGGACGTGCCCGAGTTAACTAATAGCGTGTACGGACGGGGACTTTTTGAAATATCCTCTCAAGCACATCAATTTATCATTTATAGGTAGTGCAATAACAATCAATTTTTCATGATTTTCACAACATTTGACTAAATAGTTCTTTAGTCCATTAGTTTTACAACTAAACAACATAGTTTGCATTCTTTCATGCTTTTTCCCCAGTTAAAAATAACTAAAAGCAGTAAAAGTGGGGCAATGAAAACTCACTAGTTTACAGATAAATATCCAAGGTTTTGATGAGGCTTAGAGCACCAACGTCCGCACTAACGTCCTAAACACCCGAAATCCAATAGTTAGATCACCCATCGGGTCACGATAAAGATAAAGTAAGATTATATCTTATGTAATGCCAATAACCTTTATGGGTTAAAGTTGATACCCTTTTTAATTGTTCAAAAAAAAAATCCAATATTTAATTAAATAAAAGGTTTTTGCACAAAAAATTGCTATTTGGACAGAAATACAGATTCTTTCCTAGACTCTTGGTTTCACCAATCATTGTCAAAGGAACCTTCCAAAAATCATTATACTTTTAACTTTTAAAACCACAAAAGTCACTGTTGTTAGACATCTTTTGTCTAACAACATTATTTTTGCTCCTAAAATTTTTATATTAAACATTTGAAGGCTCAAAACTCAATATTTTTGAGTGAGACCCGAGGTAGTAAAACAACAACTAATCAAAACAAACTCCAACAGAAATCGAATATTTTGGGTTGAAAATAAAGAATACAGTCAACATGATTGTTAGAAGCAACCTGTCAGTTTCAAAATGTCATTTTTATTGGTTAAAAACTACATGCAATGTGGTTTTATTTCATTTTCTTGAGTTCTAAGTTCATAGATCATAGATTATCATCATTTTGAAGACATTTTCATGTCTTTGATGAATAATCTCACATCTTAGATTTTTTTTTTTCCAGAAAATCTTTGAGCTCACAGCGAAGAAAGGAATATAAAAGAAATGAAGAACATTAATGGTAAAATACAAAGATAATAAAACTTATCTTATTACCTTTTTCTTGCTATCTTTTGAAGGTTTGAATGTTCTGCAAGGTTTAAAGATTCAAGGAGAATTTTTGGAACTTGGATTCGGCTGGTGGAAGATGAAAGGTTTAGAGAGAGAGAGGGAAAAGGGAAATATGAAGGTGAAATAAAAGATTTTTAAAAGAAGTGGGGTTTTTATATGAAGGTAGAGGGGTCGGCCCATACAAGGCCCAACCATCATATATTTTTTTTTTCTTATACAGCCACAACCCAACTAAATATAAATATAAATATATTTTATCAAATACTGATAAAATTATTCATTATTAAATCAAAATTCCAAATTTTGTAAAAATTATTTGTACATACAGTTGAAACTTTATATTTTTAAATTTGAATTTTATAATATCGACTTTATTTCTTTTAAGAGAATTTTTAATACATTTGGCATTACATAGGTTAATTTTATCAGTTACCCGTTGAGGCAGAGTTTTCTGAACTATAATTTGGGAGCTAAGTCGATTGATTTTCTAATCAACATGACTAATCCCTAATAAGTTACAATCCTAATTATAAGAACCCCTTTAAAGATACTAACCTGATGCTCCAAAAGTGACGGATGTCACAGTCTCCCCATGCCAGAAAAATTTCGTCCCGAAATTTGATTCCTCAATTCTTAGCTTTGGACCTGTTTGTGAATAAGTGAAGATACTTGTCTTTCATAAAATATTCTCTTTCCCATGTGTACTCCGGTCCATGCCTTGAGGTCCAGTGAACTTTTACAATCGGGATCTTACTTCGCCTCAACTGCTTGACTTCTCTATCCAAAATTTCTATCGGTCTTTCAACGAACTGCAGGTGATCATTTTTGCACCTCTTCCAAAGGTATGACCAGTGTTTCATCGGTTAAACACTGTTTGAGTTTTGATACATGAAATGTATCATGAATGGTGCTTAACTCTTGTGGCAAATCCAGCTTGTATGCCACTGGTTCAACTCTTTCAATTATTTCAAATGGACCAATATATCGGGGACCCAATTTGCCTGTTTTTCCAAAACGCATTATTCCTTTCCAGGGTGAGACTTTTAAGAGTACTTTGTCTCCTTTTCGGAACTCTAATGGTCTCCTCCGATTGTCTGCATAACTTTTCTAACGATCTCTTGCGGCCTTGAGTCGATCCTTAACAATTACAATCTTGTCAGTGGTTTCCTGAACTACATCAGGTCTTGTTAATTGCCGGTCGCCGATTTCTAACCAACTGAGTGGAGATATGCACTTGCGTCCATATAATGCTTCATAAGGTGCACACTGAATACTGGCATGATAGCTGTTATTATACGCAAATTCAACTAGCGGAAGGTGCGTATCCCAACTTCCACCAAAATCTATGGCGCATGCACATAACATGTCTTCCAATGTCTGGATGGTTCTTTCCATCTGCCCATCCATTTGAGGGTGGTATGAAGTACTTAAATTTAGACGGGTACCTAGCCCTTCTTGAAGTGATTGCCAAAATCTTGACGTAAATCGACTATCTCTATCAGATATGTTGGAAAGAGGTACCCATGTCTAGTGATGATTTCATTTATGTAAATTTGAGCCAGCTTCTCCATCTTATAATCTACTCGAATCGGCAGAAAATGAGCAGATTTCGTCAGTCGATCCACAATTACCCAGATTGCATCATGCCCTTTCCCAGTCTTGGGTAACTTAGTTATGAAGTCCATCGATATTTGTTCCCACTTCCACTTGGGAATCTCAGGTTGCTTGAGTAGACCAGATGGTTTTTGGTGTTCAACCTTGACGATTGAACAAGTTAAACATTGTGAGGTCTAATTTCACTGATCAATCTTCATATATGTTCACAACTATGATGGCAGATCTGATTTT